CCTAAACCCATAAACCCGAAACCCCTAAACCCTTACTAAAGTCCTAAACCCCCAAACCCCTAAACCCCACCTGAAAGATGGCTGCGATGCTGAGCTTCAGCGTGCGCTCGCTGAGATCACGTCGTCGGAGGGTGTGGTAAAGCCCAACCTTCCCATGCTTGGAGTTTGCCAAACGGATCTTTAGGGTTTAGGAGTTTTAGGGTTTAGGGTATCATTAAGGGTTTTAAGGCTTAGGGTTAAGGGTTTTCGGGGTCCCCCCTTGTTCGAAAACTGCTACTTGTAACCCTAAGCTGTACCTTCAGGGATTCTGGTGCTGGGCCCATGCACTTGAAATCCTACAGCTTGGCAGGTGTAACGGGTGCCTGTCAAGTATGCGCCTTTAGGGTTTAGGGATCTAGCACGCTGATTACCAGGTAGATTGTACTTGCGGTGGTTAGTACCAGTGATGTTTCTGGGTTGCAAGTATTGGCTTCTTAGGGAGGAACGTGCGGTTGTATTCTTTCGTTTGTCAGCCCATAGAACATCATTGCTAAATGCACTCCGCGCTGCTCCTGTGACTAGTCTTATAGGTGTGGCCGCCTGCTATTGCGCAGCTGTGCAGGCGAGAATCGCTGCATGCCCAGCGCTTTACCCACAGCATGCTACTTCCTGCATGACCTTAATATACTATAAAGGTACCTAACGTCATGCAGGATTTTCAGTATCCACGTATGCCCGAGTTCGATTTTCTGCTAAACGAGCAAGCTCCATGCAAAAACAGCTCTTGAAGCCTGACCAGTACTGTCCTAGAACACTGATACATTTTCTTCGTCAGGAACGATGCCGATGCCAGCAAACCCAAAATGAAAGAAACACCTAAGAATATACCATAATGTACTATAAAATACTATATATAATATACTCTAATATACCATAACATACCATAACATACTATAACATACTATAACATACTATAACATACTATAATCTACCATCTTATGACATGCTGAGCCCTGAGCGTGCGTGCAGATGCTGAGCTCCTGCAGAGCGGGGGTCTCCAGTAACCTGGCCAGGACCACTCTCACATTCGGCTGCAGTTAAGGAACTTCAACTCAGTT